TGCAGCCCTGAAAGGCAGCAAGTGAGCCCTATCAGCGGCTCAGAAGTACCTTCTCCACTGCTTACATATTTTCTTCACTAGTAGCCATGCACACACATCACACAAGGACCGCACATGAAACTATTATAAAGATTCCTATCTACAGTTAACAGGCTGGCCCAGGAAATGGGGACGTACATGACAGCAAAGAAGTTATGCAGCATAAAAAATATCCTATTTCACTAAATTCCATATCTGCAGACTTTGACAGTAAACATTTCCTGCAGAAGCTCTCCATCTGAAACAGTGCATGCATTCAGATGTGTGGAGGTTTGGTTTGTGGGTCTGTTTAATTTTTTTTTTTTTTTTTTTTTTAAGCTTCAACCAATTTCAAAGGGAAGCACTAGGGTAATGAAGCAATTTCACATCAAACCTTTGTTAAAGTGGTACAGAAGAGAAATAGTTAATGAAAATCGTAATGTACTTGAATATCAAAACTCAGAGCATGCATCTTTGACACAGTATATATATTAACACTTAGATAAGTCAAGTGTCTTATCTATTTAGCAAACTGATTTTTTTTGGTAAAAAAATATAAACAATATGGATATATTTTTAATGTCTAAGTACACAACTAATCTAAGACAATAGCATTTTATATTGTTTTCCACGGTACTTTTAACTTATTATTTGCTTTCCATTACCTCCAAGTCTTTCACTAACGCACGATATTCTTGAACAATTTGTGTACTGCACAGCCAAGCTTGAAAGCTTACAGTATCTCTTTTTGAAAAGGTCCATTCAAAGACTGTCAACAAGCCAAAGAAGCTGGGTACTCCAACAGCGGGATTTATATGATCAAACCTGAAAATAGCAATGAACCAATGCAGTTATGGTGTGAGAACAGCTTGGACCCTGGAGGATGGGCAGTTATTCAGAAGAGGACAGATGGATCTGTCAACTTTTTCAGAAACTGGGACAGTTACAAGGTAAATTTTGGAATTCAGAAAATCAGCAGCTTCATTTTGGTAGGGCAGTGGTTACATCATATCTACTGCAATGCAATCAAGAGGGTGCTAACATTTCCAATGTAGTTGTTCATTGCAAATGTTTGCACTGCAGGGTAAATACTGAAGTGCTGGAAATAAAGGGTTAGTTGCTTAAGTTAGACAATTAAAATGAATCGCGCAGAACAAAAATATATAATCAACAAGAGCAGCCATCCCTCAGAGGCAAACATATTTCAGCAGTTTTATTTCACAGAAATGCATTACTTTGCTTTAATTAACTTGTTCTGAAGTATTCTGTATTCGTAACGTGTCACATAATTGTGGAGAAATGTCATGCTAGACAGTCACTGGGAAGTCACCTATTACAAAGACCTAAACATATGATTTCTATCGACACACTGAGAGGTACAGTACAGTACTTGAAAAGCCGAATCGTCTCTGCTATGAATAAGTAGCCGCAGCCAGTGGAATTATTCATTGGAGCACAACAACAGATGTGCAGGATCAGGGCCTCAACTTAAGACTGTTCTTAATAATGAATTAAGGGAAATCACTTCCACTTTTGGAATTAACTTTGAAATCTCTGAAGATACAGGGCTGGTAAAAAGAAACATTCTTGTGCATGTATCCTGAGCTCAGCCCAGCTCTCCTTTCTACAGTTTAAATCGCTTTCAGGCCTTTATAGACCTTTCGGACAACAAAACTAGCAGGTACAATGTCCAAGGCAACAACTGCATGCTGCTTTGGAGTAATTACGTGCTAGGCAGGAAATGTGAAAAAAAAAATCAGGTTTTTTTTTCTTTTCATATAGTAGCCATGTTTTGACTTCACACATATAGGACACATTTTTTCTCCTCTGATGCTGTGATCACTTTAAATGCATTCACAGTTGCAATGTGCTTTGTAACCGAAGAGAGAACTGAACTACGTTTAACTCAATCAGTAATCTAAAAATATCATATATACAAAGGAAACGACAAGGATTATTACGAGGATTTTCACTTTTACATTCTTGGTATTTCTCATTCAAAGGTTATCCTTAGTAACTGTTCAAAATCTTTACTTCTCTCTCGCTCTTTTTTTTTTTTTTTTAAAAAAAAAGTACAAACTCACTTATGTGATAAAGTAGAGTCGAAAGTTCACAGGTGTTGCCTCACGTCAGGTACCCAAGTCACTCTCAGAAGCGCACCTTTAAGCCAACTGAAGGCTGCATCACAGACCAAAGGGGTGGCCTACTCCTTTCGCCCTTGCCCACCTCTCTCCTTGTTTGCTGCTCTGGGTGGCTGCCCAGCTACAGCATTGATGCAAAGGAAGCATTGCAAATGTGGCCAGGAGCCAGGAGAAAAGCAACACTACCATTTTTGGCAGCCGCACAGCCCTAGATCAGCTTAAGCCACTCGTGAAGTCGCAGCTTGAGTTAGGAGCCTAGAATGTTTATTTACTGGAAAGGGAAACCTCCCCAGAAAGGGATTCAGTGCAGGAAATTAACTGTAGGTCCTGCATAATCAATGGCCAGAGGAGGAGGGTAGGAAGACCTCAAAAACGACAAAGCCTAATAGATACCACTTATGTTAGGCGATGTAAATACCTACTTTGGCTGTAACGCCAAACATTAACAGTCGTCTTTCCTCAGGGACAAGAGACAGTTAAGCATAAAATACCACTTCATAGTTACCATACTGGTAGTCCATGATTCAACATGAAAAATGCCTTTAGATTTCACTTCTAATAAATCTAGTCAAAACTACAGACAAGTTTCCTGATTCAATCTATAGTTAAAAACAGCAGCAACATTTGGTATACAACAGGCAACAAAAAGCTATTCACCTTAAACACCAAGATTGTTAATCTGTTAATACCTTTTCCACGCTAAACCATGCCCCCTTGTATTTCATACATTCTTGCAGCTCCCCTTTAGTGTACTATGAGAAATATTGTTTCAGCTCCCCTATGCTCTCTGCTTTAAAAAGGAGAGGACACAGAAAACGGACGCAGGCCTTTTTTGCTGCCTTTACTGATGCTGGTAGTACCTTATCCTGCAAGCAGTCCTACTGAGTAAATGGCTAAGAGCAGCAGAATAAGAGCATTTAAATGCATGGATTGAGCAGTCATTCAGAAGCTTAAAAGACTTCCAGTGCCCAGGTTCTCCTGGTTTATAAAACTCCTGCTGAGAAGTGTTTTGACAAACAAGACAGACTAAGCTAACATCACTTTCTTTTCTTTTGAACAGAAAGGATTTGGAAACATTGATGGAGAGTACTGGCTGGGACTAGAAAATATTTACATGCTTACCAATCAGGATAATTACAGGCTATTGATTGAACTGGAAGACTGGAGCAATAAGAAAGTCTATGCAGAATACAGCAGTTTCCGCCTGGAGCCCGAGAGTGAATTCTACAGGCTGCGCTTAGGAACGTACCAGGGAAACGCAGGCGATTCCATGATATGGCACAACGGAAAACAATTTACAACACTGGACAGAGACAGGGATATGTATACAGGTAAGGACGCTATCAGGGAGGCAAAAAGTGAACACAGCAGATACCAGTTCTTTAATAAAAAAATACAGTAAACAAATCATGGTAAATTCTGATAAAAGTAGTTCTACTGAAAGACGTTTCAAACAGATAACGATAAAAATCTCATTGACAAGGCCCCCTGCAAGCCACTGCACAGCCCAGAAATTCAAATTCTATTGCCTTCATTGCAGGCGCACTTGAGTAAACTTTATATTTCGTTAAATCCCATCCTTATCACTTGCACGTGATCCTCTGTGGTCAGAGCACCCTTCCAGGTGCTCTGACCACATAACAGAAATCACCATTGACTAAAACTTCTGAACAGCATGGAAGGAATTTCAGTTGTGTGCAGGTTTAGTTAGGTACCAATACTTGAAAAAGGGGCAGATCTTTCCTTTGTTTCCTTCTCCTTAAGGGACACGTCACCTAGAAGGGACATTCTGACCAACACAGTTGTAACGATACTTAGAATATCAAAGACTGCAGTAACAAGGAGTTAAGAGACTTTTTTTTTTTTCATTCTACTTTCTCCAGCCTCTCTCTCAAAATCTTAGAGCAAAATAAAAATTGGAGAGCATAATTAAACTGCACTAGGAGTTTTCCCCCTTGCTTTCTCAGCTGTCAATAACCATAAACACAAATCTTAAATTCTTAAACAAGCCTATAACAATAAACACACAAATTACACGGAAGTCTTTGCAGAACTGCGGCCCCGAGTGCTATTTGGGACTGTATCCAGTGACATAACTTCCGCTGAAGTATTTCTAAACGGTGCACAATCTGAGTTCCTTGACTGCCAGCACATGGACAAGTACTGCTGGTAGTGTGAGCAGAGTTCACCTCCTTAGTTTTCAGCTGTCACACTAAGTCTGTAGTAAAAAAGGAACACTAGGCACATCTGTGTTAATGATCTCCCTTGCAGGCAATGATTATTACAGAATATATAATTTAGGTATGAGCAGCAATATGAGCACAAGATCCAAAGCGCTTCCGATCTCCCTCCAAGAGTAACACAGACCATGAAAGAGAGAACCTGCGTTGCGTCTCCCCTTAAATGTTGAGCTTTACCCACTTCTTTCTGTTCCACAGGAAACTGCGCTCACTTTCACAAAGGCGGTTGGTGGTACAACGCGTGTGCGCATTCTAACCTCAACGGAGTGTGGTACAGAGGAGGCCACTACAGAAGCAAGTATCAGGACGGAATTTTTTGGGCTGAGTACCGGGGAGGTTCCTACTCCCTGAAAGCAGTTCAAATGATGATCAGACCTATAGACTGAGGAGAAAAATCCCACAGTGCTCAAACGATCAAATATAAACTTCAAGTGCTCGAGGTCCAGAAAAATAAAATACTACACTTAAATCACTGTTTTGCACAATCTGCCCCTGCAAAAGTGCAAGGTCTACAGTTGTTCGTCTTTTTTCTCTTGTTGTGTTTCCCTTCCCTGTTTTTAAACCTTTTTCTACTGTGAGAGATGGTATTTTTAAAATATACAGATTCAAATAATTCACAAAAGCAGGTGTTTGCATTTGCAATGCATATTTATCTTTGTTGAAGTCCAATATACATTATAAACTGTCATTAAAGCTGGTAAAAAATTACAGATATGACAAGCTATAAGCTTTTTCATTTAAAAAGACTGTTTTTCCAGGTCAACTCAACCCTTAACTATAAATACATGAAATGACATTGTCTTGCCTTAATGTGAAAATTGATTACTTATTTAACAATTCATTTTAAAATTGCTGGTGTTACTTTCAACGAAAATCTCACGTTACGTTACTGTTTAAGATTTAAGCTCCAAGAAGCTAGACAAAAAATTGAAGACGTTCTAGCTTTGCCAGCAGAGAGATATCTTGCAACAAGTAATTCTTTCAAAATGAAGTGATGAATTAAACACAAAATACACAATTTCTTAAAGGTGTAGAGAATTCCTTAAGATCTGCACATCCTACCGTTCGTAAAAGGCTTTGGTAAAGTGTTCCTAACATAAAGATAACTGTAGAAAATTGTTGATAAACTCTAGAAGAGCAAATTGCTCAGTGCTTATTTCTCTACTTCTTACCTTCATGTTCAAAACATACAGCATTCTATTTAAGCAAAAATATTTCTTGACGCATTGAACTCAGATGGCAAAAAAGTCCTGACCATAAGACCAGGACTTACCATTTGGAGATCCCTCCCCTGCTCCAAATGAGGAGCGATGAATTCTGAACAAGTTTCAGATGTACTAATTTAAAGGATCAAGTCCCTGAATATTCATAAAATGAACTTTTCCTCCAACACAGCTTTATAGTGACAGAGTAAAACGTCCAGATTAGGAATTAGCTGAGGGTCTCCCTGTTACCCCAAACTTGGACTGTTCTCATGATATACACATTTCCTTTCTCCTACAAACTTAATCCTTAAAACTTACCTTACCTACATGTTAAAAAAAATCCTCAACCACCTTCCAGAATTAGTATCAAGACAAAAAACGTAAAGTATAACAAAGAGGCAAAATGAAAAAGAATGATTCAATTCATACATATGCAAGTTCTGTAGTGTTTCTCATTTAAAAAAACAAAACAGTTTCCCTCTTATCAGTTAGGGTTTCTAAAAAATTAGTGTAGCTTGCTGTCATAACAGCAGTCACAGGTTTCCTTTTTCAAAGGGACAGGTATACAACTCTCATTCTCTAGATTAAATTTTTGACCCTCTGGGTATGTTTTCTGCAGGGATTAATGTGTAATTTAAGAAATTAATTAGAAAGTAAACGTCCAACTTTTAAGTAATGCCATAAAAGATACTACATTGAAACAAGATGCTTTATAATTTGAAACACAACAAAACGTTCACTTTAAGCAGAGTCTCTGAAACTACATCTGTCTTCCTAGTCTATAAAATTATTTAATAATTGTACTTAGTCATACAGTTTAATCTTTTATTCTGATATTACAAGAAAATTAAATACATAGTTTTGAACTGTAGTTAGTATTTGTTTGGCATTTCATACGCTGCTTCAGGATTTTATGGAGCTTTGGTCCCATTTAACTTAAGAAGCCCTAATAGCTAATCAAAAGAAAAATCAAGTGCTATTGTTATGCCTAAACGAACCGATACTGACAGCCAAGAAACCATTATTGCTAATTCAAGAGCAAGAACAACATTTTGTTTTCAAAACGCCTTCTTTGGACCAGATAAAGCTTCACTGATAATATAAGGCTGCAAAGGTTGTAGTTAAATCTTTGGTCAATGAGGTCACAGGCAACATATTTCAACGCGTAGGAGGTAGAGAGGGATTTTGACCAAATTTTGACCCAGCATATTCCACTCCCAGATTCCAAGGATTTTAACTGAAACAAAAGCTTAAGATTACAACACTGAAATTGTTCTTCCTTCAGATAATCCACAGCCTGTTCTTTCTTCTATGGCAGTCAGATAAAAGAGCAGTTCAGGTAACTTTAAAAGCTAAAAAATATCTTCTGGAGTGCACCTTTAAGAAATTTTTTTTTTTTTTTTGACAACTTCCACTTTTTTCAACCTACAGATTTCCTCTCCTTGGAGGAGAGCTTACTTTTCCACTAAAATCTACTTCTGCTACAAAAACAGTGTTTTATTCAAACAGTCAGTGAACAATATTTTCTGCAAACCCCTGAAACAAGTGAAATTAGCTTTCACTTAGCCTTTAAATTATGTTATATATTTGACCTCTAAAACAGGCCAGTCTCACCCAGCTTAAAGTTGAAGGATGAAACTATCCTAACGTTATTACAAAGCGTATGTAGTAAGCTCAGGCTGCACAAATGCCGTGTTCTGCAAGGAAAGAACTCATTTTAAGTTGCCAGTCTATGATTACGAGGAGTGACAGAGTAGCACCTCTTACTGAAGGACGGTCCAGACTATGTATGGTAATTTATTATTTTCAAATGCTTATACTCTTCCAATGTTTAACCTTTGGGTTGAGTTTTCTAATGACTTCAAAACTTCAAAGTTCTGTCTCATACTTTTCTGAAGAATTTTTCAAAAGAGGCTCCAGCATCTCTCAAATTTATCGCCTCCGAAATTCAGAGGCAGTCTTTGCGTCAGGATATAGCTTTCATCGTTCCTGTGCTATCAATCCAAATTTAGCCAAAATTCCCTTGAAAGCGTTTAATCTGTACCAAGATCTGAAACACAGTTTGCACAAATATTTTCAAAGTCTGCTTGCAAGAGTTATCACTGAAGTAGCTGAGTATTCAACAGATGAATGTTTTAATAACCTGTCTTTAGCTTTCCCATTTTTGGATATAACTCCTGAAAGACAGATGTAAGAAACTGTATATCACAAGACAGTACTCCTTAGTTAAAGTAAAAATCGTACTTATAGAGATATGGCTCAATTGTTTCATTGTGCTATCCAAAATTTGTCAGAACTCCATTATCAGTCAGAAAGGTTTTTCACTCTGTGACAAAGCATAATTCACATTCACACATACATTTTCCATTTGCTTTGGCTATTTTAGTTGGCCAGGTGATGCAACATGGATGACTTGCCCCAGATCAAGTAATGCAGGCCTAAGGCTGAACATCTGCATTGGTGTCACCCAGCTCTTCGCATTCATGTTTAATTTTGAGTCCATACTGATGATGTGTTTCTCTTCCTTGCATTTCTGTAACTCTGGAATCACAATCTTCTTGCTGCAAGGAACTGAAGTATCCTGTTGGCATTTTTCCCTACTTAAATGTGGAAGGACATCTTTATCTTATCCACAGCAAAGGAGTTGTGTACGTAGTAAGACTACAATCACTACCTTCAGTGGCTCAGAGTGCATTTCGGTGGCAAAGATAATAGGGGAAAAAAAAGCAGCATTTAGGCTTTCTCTTATAGCCCTAAGACAATCAAGGAAAACTCCACGCTCGTGTTAGATATCTGATTGCATGATGCAAGTCTAGTCACCTCTGAAGGGTAAACAAGCACTCATCCTGGAAATCACAGCTGAAATCCCTTTATATGCGACTCTGACCTTCCAAGCAAGGTCCGTCACAAGCAGTGCCAGCATTGCTCTGGAGGGCCGTCGCAACAGCAAACGTTACTCTGTGGAAGGCTGGATTCTCTGTGTTCTTCTACAAAGAATTTAGGAGAATGAATGGTAACTTTAGGTTCTCTGCATCACCACAGAAAAGAGAGCTTTCCCCCACCCCCCCCAACCCCTTCTCTCTTTTCCATGAAGGAGTGGACCTCATGGTGAATCCCCTTCCTCAGCCCATGCCATTAGTAGACTCTCAGATAGCCAACTTGCAAGGAGCAGCACCATTCCTACGGATAACTCCAATAGTGGATGTAAGAGCAGAAAAACAACCTTTCAGGAATTACAACCTACAACTAGAAAGCTTAACACACTAAGTAAAATAAGTAACTGAAGTTACTTCTACTGAAAGAATGGTATGGAACAGAAGAAATTCCTTGGAAGGACATTTCAGCAATATTCTTGCAAATCTACTCAGGTCTTACTAGAGATTAAAGCTTTGGTCAAATGAGAAAAGTTAGTCATGGTAAGTCTGGCTGGAAGATTGGCCGACGAGTCTAAGATTGCAAGATAACGTTCTCTTCTTGTTGCGTATTTAAATCCTATAAAATTAATTTTATGGAGACTGCACTAGAGAATGTTTACTATTCCTTTGGAAAATAAAATAAATAAGAACTTGAGGACATTCTTCAGGTCATTAATAAGAATTCATGCTGTATGAAACTATGTAACAAAGCATTCTTTAACGAGGACTGTTGCCAGCAAAGAAACACCACACCATCCCCCTCCTAAGCAGGAAGGGAACATACATTTGGCAAAAAAAAAAAAAAAACAAAAAAACCAAAAACATCCCACCAAACAAACCAAACCCACACATGTTAAGTCAAGCTGAAAGCTTGACAACAGAAGTTAGACAAGAAGTTGCTATTGTATTTAAGGGGAAGACATCTGTAACAGAACCAACTTAAAATATTGCTTTCCAACATTTTTACTTAAATATTTTATATACCTATATACACATACAAATACACACACGCTTGCAAAGTAAAGAAATCTTTTTAAATATTAAACATATACACCAAAGCATAAAAATTTCTCTGCACAGCATTAAATATTAAAAGACCGTAACAGTAAGAGATCATGTGAGAGATCGTGTGACACGTTCTGAAGAAATCTGACAGCAGGTTGACTTGAGACTTTTTGTAATTGGTGGGGAAAAGATTTGGGCCTGGCTTCACATTTCCTAAATCACAACGTATACATGCAAAAGCTTCTGGAAAGCTAGAAACTGCATTTCAGAACTAAACAGTGGGAGTATACGCTATGCATGTACACATGATGGGAGAGCAGCAAAATAACATGCTTAACCACGTTTACATTACTGTTTGGCTGCTTCTTTTGTCCCTTTTAATTCAGGTCTAGTTTTAGTAACCACGTCACCAGCCAGGGTAACGTGGATAGTACGCCACACTGGCAGTTTTCACATACAGACTTCAGACAAGATAGGCTCATGTCAGGGGTCCATTCTAGGCATTACCAACTGCTGGATACATGAAAATACAGGGAATTTACAGCTGGGAAGATCACATCGGAATTTTCCTGGGAGCCACGGAACAGGGAAGCAAAAAGACAACAGAACGAAGAAAGAGAACTCCATAGGAATGCTTGTGATTAAAGTTATTACCGGTTCTCCATAGCGGTGTATTTTATTAACTGAACACAAAGCACATCAAAAAAAAAAAAAAAAGAAATCAAGTAACTTCACAAAATCTGAAGTTTTATATTTTAGATGTACCACTCCAGATTTTAACATCTATGAAGGTCTTGCCCCTCAACATCAAGCTATGAAGCAATCAAAACGACACTGACTGGCACACAGACCTCAGCATAACAAAATGTCAAGTTAAATAAATAAAATAGCCCAGCTAAATAAAGGAAAAAAAACAAACCCACACAGACTTCAGGAACAAAGAGACTAACATTTAATGAGCTTTAGTGACCACAGGAGGGTATCTTGAGTGTAAACAGAAAAACAACTGGTATCTGTAAAAACGTCCAACTATTTTTTCTCGAAAAGGAAGCAAATGGGTAAACATTTCTTTAATTTTATGCATCTACTAACATCTTATGACATCAAAGAAAAGCTACATGAACTTAAAAGAGCACACTTATCACTTTAAGTGCATGAAAATATTTCAAGTTGTTGAGTAACACTAGATTATCCTGGCAACAAAACCAATACATATTAAACAAAAACCTATTTATCAAGTTCTCCCAGATAAACAGGACTAGCACCTACTCATAAGTATTCCATATAGCTGAGGCAGGAATAACAATCCAATTTCTCTTGTCACTAACGTAATTAAAATGCAACAATACCCGCAGATTTTATCACGTTGCAAACGCTAAAAATCTACGTTTTATCTCACAGGTTGGTGATTTATAGCTCCTCATTATTTAAAAGCCATTATTACTGCAACAGTCAAGCATTTCGTTCCTGAAGAGCCCTACCAAGCATAACAGTTTAAGTACTTCTCCAGAAGTCAATCACCGTATCTATGCAACATAAGGGAAAATCATTTCCTAGAAAACTGATACTGTATGTAAAACCTGAATTGTTTGGGAGGGTTAATAGAAATTCTCTTTCCGAAGCTAAGGAAGATTTTTATTGCCATATACACAGTACCAAGAACCAACCAGACAGTTTCAGATTCTTTGCTTATGTACTGAACGTGTTTCATGGACTGCTTAAAAGATGGTATTCAGTTTCTGTAGTCATTGGAGAAATGTGTTCTCCTTTAACGCTTCCTTAAGAAATAGTTTAGCTTACCTAAATAAGGGATACACGGAGTCATCTTCAAGCTGCTGATATAGTCTCTAAGCCTTTTGTAATTATCTTCTTTACTCATAACGTACTCCAGCTTTTCAAATGTGGCTTTATCCTTCCGACTCAGTAACTAGAAAATAAGGAGAAAACAGATGAGCTAGTTTGATCATTATGATTTCTCTTTTGCCCTTAAAAGCATGGATTTAATCCTGTCCCTCACTTTTTTTTAAAGATGTCTTATTAATTAAAAATCACAGCATTTACTCTTTAAGGATGAGTGCTTTGAGAGTTTATTAAAAAAACTAGCTAGTTTGGGAACCAATTTTAAATTAGGCTTTCAGAAAAAACAATCAGTAAGGTGTACGCGTTGGTGTCCTAGAGGATCCTTCTGAAATAATACCAGTTTTCCAAAGAGTCATTAACTGAAATACATCGCAATTCCATGTGCTGTGTGCTTCTGCAATATTTTCATGCAGTTATTTATGCAATGCAATTATTCATCACCCCCCACCCCCCAACCCCCCACACGCCTTCCTTTGACAGAATTAACAGCAATTAAGCTGTCTGTAAGACTGGGAAACTAAGTAAAGTGGGACACATCTAGCTGAACCACTGTTGCAAAATTAAGTTAAAGGTCTAAATTAAAGCCCTTTAATATAAGATTTAAAGAAGAGTACCAAATGTTTAGTATAAACATTTCAGCAGAAGACTCGGTGTTCTAGTCTCCCGGTTACAATTTCACCACCATATAAAAATCCCCAGTAGTGAAAAACTTATGTAGGTGCAGGTCGCTAAGTTTTCATACATATTCCCTTTTCTCTTTCAATTAAAATCAACCTATGTGATATCACGGTAGCTGAAATGAGATGTCTCTTCTGTAAAGCTGTGATTTCACTATCTAAATAACCGTTCTTTCTACGCATGATTTCCACACGCTAGTCTTCATTAGGATAACACACTGGCAAATTGAACAAGAGGCAATTGTTTTCAGAGATGCACTGACCTCACTGATATGCCAGCGATTTACATCTTTACCTTTGGCACCAACATTCAGATGAGCAGCAGCTCATGTTCAGCAAGACAGCAGCTATCTGCCAATTCCAGGACAAAGAAACAGTAGAGATGTATGACTTCTTTCCAACCATCCGAACATGGTATTTACCTTCTGAAGTTTATCTCAAAGATGGCTTATGATAGCCTAAAGCATTTTGTCTCTGTTTAGTGTCTGGACGGTTTGTATGCAGTTTTGTAGTTTTTTGACTGAAAGGTATGACACGGCTAGCAGGAATTGTAATAGTGTGAATGTGGACTGGACTGAAGTTGATTGCATTTTCTTCAAAGTATGCCGATCTGCACAATCTTCTTCAAGCCTGATGCATCAATTTACACTCTCGAAACAGTCTCTGAACAAGTTAATCTCATGAATTTCCCCTGGGCTGATGGTGCAATGAGTATCACGTCTCCCCTTTCTGTGTTAATGTAGGAAAGGGCAGAGAATCTGACAATACTCCAAGCATTACCAGGCTGGACAGTAAGGGCCCAATTGTTATTTCAGCAGTTTTGGAGCTGCTGCTTTCTCTAAATAAACTTTCCACTGGCTCTTCTGGTATCTTATGCTCAAAGGATGCAAAGAATGCAAAGAGAAAACAGATGTACATATGCAGCGACAACAAAAGCTAAGAGTTCACTTTTACAGTAGCAGGGAAGTATTCAGAGCCCTGCAGCTCTCTCCAGTTACAGCACTCCAGGACTGAAGACCACCTTTGCGAAATGCCAGAAAGGAAAGCTGGGGTTTAAGGGCTCTGGTGGAGTAGGGCAGGATCCAGCAGAGCTAACTTCAGATGTCTAATAGTTATTTGGTTATGCTGTCCATCTCCAAGCTAGTAATCTATACTTCCTTTATATTAAATGGAGAGACGCAGTCTCAGAAAGGTTCATGATTTTCAAGCCTTGAATGGGACAAACCACCCATTAGTACTTATTACTTTCCAGACTTCAGGGGGAACACAGGCAATGGATGAGACAAGCAATTTTTAGACATGTTCAGACAGAATATCAGATGACACAAACTTCATCCTGTATTAGCGACATGACATTACCAAGCAAACATTTAATGGATTCCTGGAGCTCTCGATTCCATTACAAAAAAGTGACATTTTTTTTTGTGAGGGAGTGATTACATTTAGAGCAATTTGGCTTACTATGTCTAAAGCTGAGATGATTGTGGGTTGCTACAAACGCTCGTCTTCCTGAACGAAAGCACAAGGAAGATCACCACTGTAACAGGACTTAGTGCAGAAACGGGCAGGAAATGCTTCCCCAGCTGAAGATTTTGGACAGATATTGGATAGCTTATTCAAATGACAATAATGGCTTGGTGTCCCTTTTTGAATGCCTTCTCTTGCTTCTAATATACAGAAAGCCAAAGGCTTATTATGATTACTTCAATAATTTATAAATTGAGCTTCCAAGAGAAAGGCATCTAAATCAGTCTGCAGTACAGATAACTGGGAGCTATCCTTGCAGCTTTGCAAAGGCTCAAATAAGACGACGAAAAGCAGATTCCCTTGGGCTTGTATGAGAAATTAAACACCTGCAGAAACATGGGAGAGGTTACCCAGCATTTCAGAGCTTGGAGAGAGACTAACTCAAAAAAAGAAAATCAATATATATGCCAACAGCACAAGGATAACCCTCACAAGAAGTGCAAATCAGCATTTGTGGTTGACATAGCAGAAAAACCGGGGACTCCCGGGCCTGAATGGCATAATCGTGGTAGTAATCAATCTGGTATCACAATTTTATAGAACTGCTGAGGCTGCCTCAAAGTATCTAAAGGACAAAAAGCAGAAAAATAGAAGTTCTCTTCCAGAACATTTTGAAGTGTTGACTTCATTAGGATTTCCTTAGTGAGATTTGGGCATTTTTGAAATGAGGAATGTCTGTCTTTATGCATTTGCAAAATGAATAAGACAGAATTCTAGAGGAGTTAAGATTAACAGGAGTGAGTTATGCTCAATTTCGGTAGCACATTTATCAATTGAACAAGATTATCTTTTAGTTATTCCTGCCTTGGGGGATGAAAGTGGATGAGAAAGAAATCCCTTGTCAATCTCAATGCAAAGATGCACTGATATGTCTTCTATGAAAATTTTTAGCCTTTTTTAGGGACCTATTTATATGGACACCTTGCAGAGGAATACCTCAGTCACCTGACTACTTCTATCACACTTGAAAATGTCAAAGCTCATCTCTCCTGCTTATACAGCTCAATAACTACACGATGTACAGCTGAATCAAGCTCAGTATTTTCCTCATCTCTGTGATGTCAGTGAGTTATTCCTAAAAGTTCTACTGATCAAGGATGCAACTACACAAAAATCATATTGACATTTTAATCAGAAGTAGGTGTCAAATACAAATGTTTCCAAAGAACAGAATGATTTCTAAACTGTACAAAAGCAGACATACAAATATATAGCTTAGTGCACTTACTATAACTATGAAAGTTATGCTAACTACATTGGGTAAGACCATTAAATTTAGTTATCACTAAAAGAAACTACAAATCTTTTTATGGAAAGTGGATTGGTTATTTTGGATATCTGTTCTCCATTAAAAGAAATTCCAGCAGTTATATAAGCCCTTAAATGATTAAAATATGACCCACTCTGGCATTCATGATTTTCCAGCAACTAAATACAAAATAGCTTCTGGCCAAATTAGAAGGCTCTCCATTTAGCAGAGTCTGCAGGGAATGATTTTTCAAAGGAAAATGTTCCTATGCCAGAATGGAAAAAACTCAACAGGAAACCATTGACTTAAGAGGGCCTAGAAACATTATGTATGTAGCACAAGAAATCAAAAAGTATCTCTAATAATCATTGTATCCTTGAAAACAAGCTATAGAATTATAAAGTTTTTTAAGAATAAATTAAAAACCCTCCACTGTCCTGCTGCTTACTTACCGCCCACGTTTTAGTCAGCCTGAAGATTGGAGCGCTCTGTAGGCCCGACACAACTGCCATCAGAGCGTGCAGATTATTCAGCTCATACAGTTTCTGAGGACAAAAATATATACAATCACAAACAGCATTTCAACTGCAGTCAATAATGCATAGAGAATAAACAATGATCTAAACGTACACAAAGCCTTTTCAATGTGGCAGCATTACAGAAATCCTGTACGCTCTAAATTGATGATTTAATTAGCAAACTGACACGCACTCGCACCACTTTTGTGGTACCCCCTGCCTAATTTGTCAGTGCTTCATCTATACGATTTTGGATTACATCATATTAGCTGGTTTATAGTTCAGAGATAGCTCATAACACAATTGTCATCTCTACTTACTTCCTTTAAAAAAAAATAATTGAATAAATTGAGGGGAGGGTCATATATAAGTAGTGCTGGAAATTTTCTGACATTCAGAGCCAACAAATTCCTTTCATAGCAATAGCATTCAATTCAACTTAACATGCTAAAAAGGATAACCCAGTCGGGAATGATGCAATCCTGGCAGCATTTAATACTGTAAAATGCATTTTGCACCACAGGTTTACAGAGCTATTGGTGCTGCATCAAAGCACCTAACAGAAAAAAAAAATTGTTGCAGGATGAAATCAAGTGGGTAATTTTGAAGAGCATGTACCCGAGTACTTCTCTCGTCAAAAGACGAGTCTGGGGGTCCGACAACTAAAACTAACTAGTGGAAAAGAGCAACAAGAACAAAAATCAAATGCACAACGCATCAGAACAACAGAAGTGGCTCTCTTGTAAGTCTACAAAACACTGTAGAGAAGTGCGCTTTCTTTCATCTATGGAACTTTGACCCATTCTCCCTTTTTTTCCCCTTCTGTCCCTGAAACCAATCAACCTTGACAAATTAATCATTAGTATTAGTATTCTTGCCCTGTAAAGTTTCAAAATGCTTCAGGAGAAAATGCTGTTCCTAGTGCCTTGCTCCTGCACATCAGTCGTTCTGATGGCTCTGAGAGCAGAATTACATTCAGGGATTTTTGGTGGGGCACACACAAACTGAGGCTTCACTGCTACAGAGAGGAAAAAAAAAAAAGTATTAAACAGAAATGGATATTCAACCACAGTATTGCAAGGTCTGTTCAACCCCTTTAGCAAATTCACCAAGGTAGAAAAGGATTACAGACAGAAACCCCAAACAAGAACAAGGAACCCTTACTTCTCAGAACACTGGGGACACAAGTAGTAAATGGAGTTTCTTCCCTTCCTTGAAGCTCAGCTTGCCTAAACTTTCTTGGTTATGAGGCCTTTCACAAGATAACAGCACAGAAAGTAAGACCAATTTAATTTGATTTTGCATAGATGCTGATTATAAGGGAAACCTTATTTTTGGAAGGCTGAAAGGGATATTGCAAGGATATTTTTCTACCTGGTGGTTTTGAAGCAGGGCAAATGCTTCTTACCAGTTAACTCAATGGCAGAGAACTACTATCTTAAAATAATAATAAAACAAAATAAAAAAACAAGTCCTCAAAAGTAACACTCAAAAATTCAGTATATAATGCTAATGGGTCACCCTAGTAGGAATTTCACACCACATGCCCAGAGCCCTACGGTTCTAGTACATCTATTGACACAGTAGAGTTATTTCCACACCTACTGAATAAGCATTTGTCTCTTCTAATCCTCTCAAGTGGACTCCTTCAAAACTACATGTAAAGGGCAATCGTTATTTTGTTGGGGGGTCGGGTCAGAGCGGTGACAGAATATTTGTCATGCATTGCTGCCCCGCTATCCTTCCAGAACCTTTCCCAACCACAAAGAGACAGCGGAAACACCATGTGGTCCCCGGCCTTCCAGCATCTCCACCAGGACTGCTCAGAGCAAGAGCTTCCTATCACATTCTTTCACAGTAACAGCAACATTTACAATATATATCTGCATTATCTTGTGATTTCTATCCTGGGAGGATGAAACATGGGACATTTCTGGAGGTCAAAATGGAAATTTAGTAGTTCTGGTGTCTGTCCAACCAGTCACACAATAGCCCATTTTGATTTCCGTATGTCCCCAGACAAGGCAATAAAGTTCACATCCTGAAGAGGGATGCAGGATAACAATGTAGCTGATTAAAAACGAAAAAAGGCTTTCCTTGTTGCTGCCAACACTGAAGCAGAAGTCATAGCTAATCACAATAGTCTGGGAACCTCAGGGGAAAGCAACTATTAAGTCCAATTAGTTCATGCACAAAGCAATTAACATGAGATACCATTAAAAGACTGCTAGCCATACAGTAATTAGATAGCGGTCGGCACAAACAAGTTCACTGCGGAGTGGATTTACAGCTTCCCTGAAGAAAAGTTGATTTGTGTGACCTATGGCACACGATTGCTTTGAAAACAGGTTTGGTGTAAACAGAAAATCCTTCAAATGGTATTAGCTGCTGTGACTTCATGTTAGCAGCCATACACAAGCAAAGCTAAGATAATACGTACAGTAAGAAACAGAGACATAAAAACACAAACGGCAATAAATTGTAATTTTACAATGCATAGCTAAGCGACGCTCAATCAACTTTAATTGTTACAGCACGTAACTGTCTCAAAGTTTAGCATTTCAGCAGAAACTGCTGCCTGTAGCCCACAGATGAGATCGGGCATGTTTGGGGTGGCGCGGCTGCGGGAAAGCCTGCAGGACCCAGCGTTCCCATGCAGTCTCCCATCCAGATACTAACCAGGCCTGACCTGCTTAGTTTCCAAGATCATTTCTGCACTATGGTCATTACAGGTGAAACTCTCTCCTCTACACAGGGGCACTCATCGATCATCTAGCAAATTTTTTGTACGTCCATTTCAAACAAAAATGCATATTCGTTTTTTAATACGTCTTCATCTTGTGTATTTTAAGTCTCAGCAGATACCAAAGAATATTTTAAAGATGTCCTTAGTGACTTCGCATTTTTAATATTCTCAGTCACTATGACCACAGCATGATTATTGAGCAAAGCTTGTGAAATCATAAAAAATTAACTTTTTGTCCAAAGTGTATGCAGTCATAGCCTATAGAAATAAAATATTAGAGACTTAGTGTTTTTTTTTCCTGTTGCTAAAGGAGTAATTTTCAACCAAGTATTCAGACATGCAAGTGATTATCACACATCTGCTGATTTGCAGAAAGTGGCTTGCTATTAGCCTGCAGTAACTGCTACCTAGCTTGATTTACCTTTGCTTTTTAACGACTGCTGAAAGTCTAAACTTGAACCTGACTGTATACGGGGTCAGCAGATGAACAGAGTCTGAGCCCTAAGTCTCCATCATCAGCAATATTTTCCTTCAACTTTAAATAAAGTTGTGACCCCACATAGCGCCAGGTACACTTGCCACATTGCGCCTCCATTTCAACAGCCCTAATCCTGTAGCCACACAGCCTTAAATGCCATACCACTCACTTTTGCAAAGGAAAATAAAGAACTCATAGGTCTGCTGGGATCCTTCCTTTCCTGCCCCTCTGTCACCATCACTGGCACACCAGCAAGAAAACGTGGCCAAATGCAAAGGCATTTACCCTAAGCTCTAAAGTCTTCCTAGCCACTCTTAAGGACAACTGCAGTTCACTATATAGCAGTGCACCTCCATACAAGACACACTTCTCTTCAATATAATACTGAAATTCAATAATATGCTCCCTAAAATTATATTTACATATAAGCTCAAGTATGACTTATGACTTATTTATTAATACAATTAGCTGATTTTCAGGATCCACATAAATTTTACATAAAATTGAACGTGTAATACTAAGGTTTTGTCATAAGTAAAAACAAGTTCATTCATAACAAGAAAAATCTCTCTCTCCACACAAACTCAACCCTCCTCCCAAACACACACATTACTGTAAACTAGTGCCATCTGTCCACTCAGCAAAGAAATCTGAAAAAAAATACAGTAGCCTTGTGACACATCTCACTGAGGCAGCTTCCAGATTCGCTCACAGGTTATGTTGCTACATACTGTAAAAACAGCACCTCTCATTACTGAAAGGCAGCTTTCTCAAATTCATTCAGATTAGGGGGAACTAACAGAAGTACAAAGAGGGCAACAATTTCAGAAGTTTGAATAGAAACAACACAACATATATTTGGTCAAGTAAAGGCCTTTCCTTGTAGAAAAAGACTGTTTAAAACCTTAATTTTAACATCTTAATAGAAAATTAAGATGCGTGACCATGCCATCTCTGACTTTGCAGCACAGCAAGACACTAGGTTCAGGAAAGACCAATGGGTAGTGTGCCCCAGTCATGAAACTTTTTTTTTTTTAAACATTTGATTTTACTATAAATATTTTCCAGTCAACTGTTAAAATCAAGGAGGACGACCTTAGTTAACAAGTCCGTAGTCAAAAACATTATGTACACAAAGCCATCCTCCATGCATAAGAGTTGCAACTTCAAACAAATAATGCATTTGAAAAATAGATACCAAGATAACTGACAATTTTAAAATTATTTATTAGGTTACCTGCAATGGTGACAGAAGTTAGCTGTAGTAACCGTCAGCCACCTTGTCACAGCAAAAACCTGAAAAAAATCCATCTCTTCACACTATAACAAACAAGTTTTTCTGTTTGAAGGGCCAGGACCCTGGTTCATCTACACTAAGTCAAGATCCGCTCACACTTTTCACCTAAGCATCAGTGGTAAGGCTTTCAGGAAGGCTTCAGGAAGAATATCGTAGGATAAGAGCTAGGTAAACATTGATATCTGCTATTTCACCTCCAAAACGTCTTCCGAGTTCAAATGTATTTTTGAAACTATGTTTCTGAAGTAAAATTTATTAGGTTGATATTAGCCATGCCACAACTGCAAGAAGAGGTGACAGACTCTCCCTTCAATAATAAAAAACAACAAAAAATGTACTTCGAACAGCATTGGTCAGAGCAGGGCTGGTTCTGTATGTAGTGTTTGGGTTTAACCAACATTAGAAAACAAACTGCATAAATTACATTACCTAGAAAACAGTATTTGAAATAAAGCATCATCATGTTTCCTTAGTTAAGCAATTGTTTTGGTAAACAAAAACTTCCATTTGGGGATTTTGGTTTGTTACTATTTCTGACAACTTTGTTACATATAAGCCAAACACCTTTCCATGTCAATAGATAAAACCACAACTAAATTGAGCGTCAGACAAGTGTTTATCCACATGCATTTTTGAACTGACCAACTTAAGAACTGTCATCATGATGAACCCCACAAAACACCCCCAAAGTTCTTACCTTAGCTGTTTTAATATAGTGGCTCAGAACCTCAGCTCTGATTTTTAAGGTTTGCGCATGTAGAATCTCTCTAACCACCCAGAAGCTTACCTAAAAAGAAGGAAAATGTACAGTTTTTGAAGTATACAGCTTCAATAATTACACCTCTAATATTTTCATTTCATGAACAGCATGAAGAAGTTATACAACATTCAATTTTCTCCTATAAAGGATGAATAGATACTGGAAAATGCAAGTGCTTACACTATAAAAATCCCAATGAACACAACTGAGATACTAGGTCTTTAAGTTAATATAATTAAAAGTCACAAACATGAACTTGCTAATTCCAAGATCAGCTTCTTAATTTCCTCGCTGAAATATTAGAAAGTTGCAGTTTTAATGCTTTGTTAGTGTAGAGCTTTACACAAATATTGAACTTTTGATAAATAATCATACTTTGTTTTTCAGAAATGCAGCACTCCTCATATTTCACCTAGCCTGACCTAAACATTCAAGGAGACTTTAATCTCTCCACACAATTCATGGCAAATATTTTACCAATAGAAACTTGCAATACCCTATCTCACAATGAGTCTAATACACCGTTCTTATAAATATAGCCTACTAGCCACAAACGACAAAAAACCCACAGATGATTCCTTTTCTTCGCAATTGCCTTTCATGTTAGTCAAAAGCTTAAACTGCCACCCTAAAGTCTCTTCTTAAAGCTAAATAACCCAAAGTCTTTCAACTTTTCAAAAAAATCATGCCCTCTAGAACTCTAATCATTCTCCTCCTCAGGTTCTCTTCATCTGGATAACGTTCTGAAGCACAGTGCCTAAAAGCAGACAGTTTTTCACAGCTGAGAAATCACTGAGTAGTACAGACTTTTTTGTGTGCCATACTACTGCTTACGAACATCACTATTTTTTCCAGAACAGTGCAACGTGGCTTGCCTGTGCTATGCTCTGATCCGCAATAACCCCAAGATCCTCTGGTCTACTACCAGTCATGTGGGTAGCTCCCATCCTGCATCTGTGCAGTTTATTCCTGCCTAAAGGACTGTATTCATTATTCTTTCTTCAAATTTTTTAAAAGCATTTCTCCAGTTTGTCTAATCCTTCCTTCCCATATGTTTGCAATCTGTCTCAGTTTTAAGTCTTTCCCAAACATAACACCAGCACCTGTCAAAAACAGTGAAAAGAACAAGTAGCAGAATGGATGCCTGGGGACCTCCAGATCATCTATCATATTTGCCATGCAGGCAGTGAACCAGTCGTCCCCAAGACCCAACCTTCTGCATATAGCTAAGGCAGATGCCAACTGACTGGCTCTCAGCACTTTCACCTGAACTTGTTTCTCAGAGGGGAAAGAAGAGAAAGCAATGTAAGCTGTTGGGGAGCACGCAAGAACAGTGGGAAGTGGGGCCGGGAAAACAGACAAAGGACAAAGCAGCTTTAAGACCCATTTGGCTAGGGAAAGGGCAGCCGGCCAGCCAAAAGCAGGAGTTCACAGATGCCAAGACCTCCTCCTACTCCAGTCTCTCCAACATCCACTCAGCCTTCAAGCACCCTCAGATCCAGACAATTTGGAAAGCTCATTCAAGTGTTCTTGTAATCTTGTTTTCTACAGCGCTATTTTTAAATATTAGATGTTAATAGTGGGAGGGTGTTACTATTTTCTGTAGTTTCCCTCTTGTGCTTGAAAGCAACAAGTTTATCCACTTGGTCCTGTTTGACCCTTCTACTCCGTATGCATTGAAATAATCGGAGCGTACATCTTTAGCATCACTTCCTTTAAAAATTACCAATTATCCCTATATTTAACTCCCAGAGCTAAACTACATATCTCAGTTCATTAAAATCTGCCTTCAAGTCTATGCCTTCAGCTTACTGTTATTTCTCTTCCCTTTCTTCAAAATATTTTGCTGTTATTCTGGTCATTCTCAGCCAAAATACTGTCTACCACTACATGGTCAAGCAGTTTCTTAAACTACTAAACCCATCTTATGCCAGTTCAGTTAGTTGTGCATAAAGATATTAGTATCTGTTTTTCTAATGAGGAAAATACTTGAGAAGTACATGAAAAAAACAGCCAAATCATTTTTATGTAACCTATGCAAATATATTCACTTTCAAGCTGAGACTCAGATGAAATCTCACAACTACAAAAAGCAAATGGGAAAAACTTCAAGCTTCAGCCAGAATGTTCTCCCCAGAAAACAAAGTCATAAAGGAAATTTAAGATGAGAGTCTAAAATGGAGAAATAAAAATTAAATTTGAGCTTTATCCTCAGCTTCTGCTTCTCCACTACTACAAAGCAGCACTCTCAGATGCGTTGAGCAGCTTCAACTGGACTCCACAGACATTTGCAGATTCTCAACACTTCTGAAGAAAATCCAAACAGCGTCACCTAAGCAAAACTCAAGCATAAGGTACAAAGGCTCTGCTATAACCTAGCTTCTTTGTATTCCTATCATTGCTAGCTAGGCCAATTCCTGCCTAGTAGCAAATGAGAACTATAGCATACTGTGTGAGTTTTACAGGACTAACTTCACTGCTGTACAAAATCAGTTATATTCAGTATGGTATGAAGGACAGACGCTACATTTCATAGTTGCATTAATGCTTCATACAAGCTATATTTTTTGCAAGTGTTTTGATAGCACTTCTAACTTCTGATTTTTTCCCTCCTCTGCTCCCTCCACCCTTATATAGTTTATCACATACAGGATTGATAGAAAATAAGTCCCTTCCTAACTGTAATAAGAGAGTAGCAAAGGTTAACCCCTACTGAAACTTTTATCCAAGTACTTACTGTAAGCTAGAAGAAGGGGGAGTCGGAAAAT